AAGGGCGTCCGTTCTCGGTCCAGATTGACGGTGGTGAGCTCTTGTCGATGCTCAAAGACAAGATCAAGGAGAAGAAACCGGCAAGTATAACCTGTGATGCGGATGCTCTGGAGCTCTACCGTGCGTTCAAGGATGGTGCGTTGTTGAACAGCGAAGGTGCCAAAGCTGTAACGCTCAACGACCTTCAACGCTCCAACTTCAGCGTTAAGCTGGACGGTGCGAGTCGTCACCACATGCGTAGATTCCATGAAGACTGGTACACCATGGGCGTGGGTGGACACTCCAGCCAAGTGATGAATTGTTTCGGTCGTAGACTGCACGTCAGAGGTCAGTAGCGAAAACGTCCCAGGCGTAGAACTTGACGAGGAGTAAGAGTCGTTCGAGTCCACGCGCGCAATCAGACTTGTAGAGGTGGGCGGGATAACAGACTGGGTCTCGTCGTCGTTGCCCTTGGTGAACATGGACTCGTCTGACTAGCTTTCGCTGGAGCTAGCTTCAGCCATATCGTCTGTGTATACAAGCTCTTCAGACGAACTTCGAGGCTCCATGGATAGATCACTCTCGTCGTCGAGGAGAGAGGCCCGTTCACGACGAGCGGTAGTCAAGGTAGTATCGGCGGCCTCGTCCGAGTCTTCGGCCGCTTTGCTTCGTTTCTCCAAGTCTCGTTGCTCGGGCGAGTTGGAGTGGTGTTCGATTCGGTAGTTGATGTCTCGCTTCAACTGTTTCTGGACAGGGGTGCCTTGGGCAGGTTCAGGCTTACTTTTACACCCCTCATCAGAGCTGCTGCTAAGGAGGATTTCATCGTCAGCCACGCTCACGAGGTCAAGTCTCGTATCGGTCGGGGCTGGGACGGCTGAGGCGACATCCGTGTCGTCTGTGATTGCTTGGACGGGAGGTGCATCGAGAGGCCTTTGTTCACCCAGGAGTGCTGGATTTCCTGGTTTGGCAGGAGCGTTACCCTGCTTCTGAGACGAGCTTCTCCCGAAAACTACGAAACCAGTTTAGTACTGGACCAGACGAGATCGCGCTTTGCCTCTTCGTCGCCGACTCGTCTGGCCCTGCCGGCTTCCGACTTCGTCCACGAAACTGCCGTCTACAATCCTGCCATACCATTTGTCCCCAGTCGCTCACGTGTATCCGAGATCGAACGATACTCCCCCCCAACTGATGGACCACGTCGTGTATGCCCGTCCAGACGAATCCATGGGTGTGGAGGCCATCACGGACCATGTCGAGCCCAGTCCGCTACTCGACATGGTGCCCATTCATCAACCTATCGTGGAACGTCATCA